GAGGGGGCAAGGTATTCAAAATTTATTTGTGAAAGAGTAAATCTAGAGTTGTGTTGATCATTTGAGTTCTTTAAGTTAGGAAGATGGAGCAAGTAAACAAATGTCAGGGGGATTAAGGGGGAGAAACAAGAATTGTAGCAGATTGGCTAAGAAGCATAAGCATCGGGGCCCAAGAATGTGCTGGAAGCATAAACATCTGGGCCCAAAAATGTGCTCAAAGGGGTGGAAGCAAAAGTGAATGTGGTCCCCAACAGGGTTACCCTATAATTGTTTAAATTGGAAAACGTTAAGGAATAAAAGGAGGCACTGTTAATAATTACGCTGGGATGACAAGTATAAATAGGGCTGTGCTGAGCAAACTGGAAAGTTTGTTATCAAGGAGAGGGTAACCCTCTTCCTCCTGAAAAGGACCTGCCTAAACAGACTCAGAAAATGCTTAAGTACGGCTAGAGATGAGATTTTAGAATACTTATAAATTATATCCTGGGGATCAACAAGATCAAGTGAGAAAGTTCAGAGTGAGATAAGAAAAAGGCTCAAAACTCAGGTCCATGAAAGCTGTTGGTGGGAAACACTGGAAGGCCCACGTGTTGGAAGAGGTGGAACATGACTCTGGTCGGCCAAGTTGACATTCCCTTTAGGGTTCTGCCAGTCACTGCTGCCCAAAGAAGAAAGGATTCAGTACTGTTCACTGAACGTTATAGGGAATGAGTATAAAAAGGTATTTTCCAAAATAATTTTTCTAAAAATTAAAAGAAAAAAGGAAATAATCAAAGATAATCAAAAGCATTACAACACAGTTCAAATACCAGATTTCTATTTGTCATGATTAAAATCTAGTTCCAATAACTCTGTGCCTTTACAGGCAACCTTATCTAATTTTTTATTTTCTAAACTAGTTGTCCAATTCCATGCGACAATGAATAACATTAGTGACTCCTATTATCTTGTTCTTGTTGCATCCAGTACCTAGGAAGAAGGAATCCAAATTATGAGGAACTTTGCACATACCTCACGTAGACCTCTTGGAGGACCAAGGTGGCTACTACAGTGTGAGTGCAAACATCTGACTCTTCTATGGCTAACAGCTAACAATGAGATAAATGTCTGGAGGATAAGTAAAAAGGCAGCTATGGAGATACAGGTTTGGGACTAGTTACTGCAGGAGTCATAAAGCTGAGAAGAGTGGATAAGCTCTTAGAAAATGGTAGGCAGCTGAGAATAAAGCTGCCTACCCCCCCCCCCCCCCACACACACACACGCAGAAAAACAAATAGCTTGGTCAGCAAAGTTGGAGGGGAGGCGAGAAAAGGGCAATGTTCTGGAAGCCTGGAAGTCCAGGGAGGAAAAAGTTTGCACTAAATCATCAACTTCTTAAAACACCCAGGGAGGCTGAGCAAGTGACAGGAAGCCACTGGCTTCAGCAACATGTAAGCAAAAAGTATAACGTCCTCCTGTAGTCAAAAATTCATGCAGTCCCTCCAGTGAAAACAATCTCTGGGTATATGAGCTTCAACAAGAGAGATGCTCAAGTCCAGACAATCTCCTTAATTTGATTCTGTTGCAGGAAACTAACATGCCAATGGTTTCATGATAGAACAGGAAGTTTCATTAAGAAACTCATCTATCTATTCACATGAAGTGATGGAAACAAAGGCTTATCCTTAGTTCAGCAGCCTCTCTGGATAGTCAGGCCAGCTGCAGAGAGAGGTTTTCCAATGACACTTAATGGTGATCTGCACAAATTTCTTAACCATTAGGAAAAAAGACCAAGGGCTAACATGGAAAAAGCACAGATTTGGGAATTTGATCTTCAGTGAATTGAGCTTGAGGAATTAATTACCCATTTCCCATTTGTTGTAAATAAATACTTAGTTTCTTTATCTATAACACAAGGGAAATTGACTAGATGAACTATGTCAGGAGTCCCCAAACCCTGGGTCACAGACCAGTATCATTCTGTGGCCTGTAAGGAACCACGCCGCACAGCAGGAGGTAAGGGGAGGGGCAAAGCATTCCCGCCCGAGCTCCGCCTCCTGTCAGATCAGAGGTGGCATTAGGCTCTCACAGGAGTGTGAATCCCATTGTAACCACACATGTAAGGGGTCTAGGTTGCGTGCTCCTTATGAGGTAGAACAGTTTCATCCTGAAACCATTCCCACCCCACCCCAGCCCAATCCGTGGAAAAAGTGCCTTCCACGAAACCCGTCCCTTCTGACAAAAAGGTTGGGGACCACTGAGCTACGTTCTGTCCCTCCAAGCTCTGAAATTCCACAATTCTCTACTGAAAACCATGTGAAAACTTAAGTCACCTTCTTGGGTTGCAATGACACTACTACCCTGTGTAGACTAGACAAATGTATGCTGGAGTAGAGAAAAAAATCTATTTTTAAGCTCTACTTGTGGTCAATGTAGAAGCTTTTTACCAATACAATGACTAACTCTGAGCTGTATTTTTTTTTCCAGAAATCTGGCCTTAATAACTTAGATATAAATGGATTATCTTTCTGAAGAATGATCTCAGCCAGAATATAAATATTAGGTAAATAATATAAATATATTTTTGCAATATCTTTGACTAGGAGAGAAGGAAGTATGGTATAGTGAAAAGACTAATGAATTCAGGCAATTTGGGCTTCATTCCCAACTTTTATCCACTAAACCCTCTGGGGTTTAAATGTCTTAATCATAAAATGAAGAGGTTAGACTAGAAGATTAAATATCTACTCCGGAGCTTAAAAGATATTAATAGTCTAGCGATGTGTGAATGTTGTCAGTCATGCCCACTTTAAAAAAATCTCTTTCCTTCTCCAAAATTCATTTTGTGCTTCTTAAAGTAAAAGAATACAGTAGAGTCATAGTCTATGGGAGAAAAAGGTCACATTTCCCTTGGACAAAAGGCCAGAGGTGCGGAAATCAATGACAATGCCATCTTTGATCACAAAAACACCAGAACTAATAAACAGTTCATAATTAAGAAGCGAAGCAGCATCACAATCGCCCTACACTGAAGAGTAACTCGCCCTCGGGAGTGGATTCCTCTCTGCCTAGCCTGAGAGGTTCAGTAGCTGGACATCCTAGAAAAAGGGGGTTCAGGTTTTTTCTTTTTTTTGCCTCTAAGCTGAGTGCAGGCATAACACAGTCCTATCTTTAACATCTCATATTACATTCAGAGATTTTCTTTTAAAGGGGTGGAAGCAGGTGGCAAACTACCCTTTCCATGCACCTCTACAACAGCAAAAGAGATTCACAGTCCTCAATTAACTGTGCATATTCAAGTTTAAACCATTCACATTTCCTATCTTCCTTCCTGTTTCCTAAAAACTTTTATGTCAAATATTTTTGCATTCCATTCAAATCATACATACAAATCAAGTTCCCAGAATTTTTGTTTCTTTTTTGTCAAAGGGTAAAGTGGGAAAAACAAAACTACTACTAACAAACAATACCTCCAGATTGAATTGAATTATGCCCTTTTCTCATTTTGGGAAAAACCAAAGTCCAAAATGAATATCTTCTGCTAAGATCACAATAACAGGAAGTTATCCAACCAGGAGATCTAAATATACATCCTTAGCTATATCCAACTGGATGAACAAATCATAGCACTTACATTCAGCATGTCCAAAACCGCATTCAGTCTTCTTGATCAAAACGATGTCTTTTCTTTGTTCTTTCTGGGAATGTCACTATTATCTTTTTATTAAGCTCCCCCATTTCCCACATCTAATTCATGTTCATTCCTTGGGCATTTCTAATGTTTCTCATTATTTCCACTGTTCTAATTGTCTTTCATGTAGTATCTCTTCCTGATACCAATTTCTTCATAATCCCAAATCTTCTCAATGTTGTTGCTAAATGAATCTATTTAAACTACTGATTTGATTATTTTGTTCCTTTGTACAAAACCTTTCAATGGTTTCACTTTGACTAGTAAATTAGCACCAAATGCCTTGATATGTCATTGAAGGCCCCAGGCCCTGCTGTGAAACTCCTAGTCAGGTCTCACTTCTCACTACTCACCATGATTAACAGGGACCTGTTATCCACCTGTCTACTTCCATGTGTTTGTTTTTACTGCTCCTTTCACCTGAACCACTCTCCTTTCTCAGTGGTGATGGTGAATTTAGCTCTTCTTGCAAAGCTCAAAATAATTTCCACATCCTCAGAATGAGCCATGCCTGAGCCTAACATTCCTGGAGCTCTGCCCTTTGAAATATGTGTGTTCTCTTTCTTTCCCCCATAATTGCTGCATTTTTATACTGTTCCAACTGCATTTCTATTTTCCTTGTGCTCATTTTTTTGTGCTTTTCTTATCCTACATTTGTTGTGTATCCTGCACACTTGCCATTGAACTAGGAGCTACCTAATGGCAGAAATGATCCTTGCAAATGTTAGCGCACACAGTGCCTAGCCGTCAGGAACTTCCTATTATATTATTGCTAACACATATTAATGCTAAAGTGATTGACATCAGAATGTGAGAACTGACTACTATGTTACACCATTTCTTTAATACTCAGAATCTTTCTATACGCTATCTGAACATCTAGAGCTCCCTCTTAGATATCAGTAAGACAGCACACGTAGGTATAAGTTTGGCAGCTGAGGGTACAGGGCAAGAGAATGAGCGCTGCAGCACGAGTGTGAATCCTGGCCCTGCCTCTAGCAGCGGTGGCGTTGGTACTGAAGTAAGAAACCCAATGGACTCAATCAACACCAATGATTTGCTCCTATCGTAAACAAGATAAAATGTTTGAAATTACCCTCATATTTATTAACAAACTACAAATAAGTTATTTTTATTGAAAGTCTCTTATACCCTTGACCATAAGTAACTGCTGCATAGGAATAATGTCGATTTGTATTGGTAAATAACATCTGCAAGTATATTACTCAGTCTCCAATTATTCAATTTAAGTACACGTAATCTATAGCAGACAAGTTTGCTGCTCATCAAATTACAGCCGCATGATGAGGCCAGCTGCTACCAGACACACCTTAAAACCTTTGGAAGCAGCAATGTGGGCAGCAGTCCAGCCTTCTCTGTTGGCGTGGTTAATGAAGTCTGCAGTAACAATAGGCTTGGATTTGCCTTCAGGACTCTCTTCTTCTCCATCCAAGTCAAAGACACCTGACTCGGACTTCTCTTCACTGAAAGAGTTTCCATGAGCTGGTACTCTGTGGTACATAAGAAGCTTGAGGCTGTCCACATTACCAGTGTCCACAGCTGCGTGAACTGGTGTCCAGCCATCCTGAAAATAAAATGACCATGGGGAAAGGGGTTGATAACAACATTAATGTCAAGGATAATGTTACTGAAAGTTCACTTCTAAATGTTCTTGGGCATGGACCACTGAGCTGGGAAAAGCAGACATTCCAATCCTGAACATCACCACTGATGAGCTGGGTAAAGTTCTCTGACCTCTCTAAGTTAATAGTATTTCCAACTGTTATGACTCATGTTTGCTATTTTGTAATCACTTCCACCTACCAGTTAAACATTTGGGGTGAGCCGGTACTGTCCAGGGCAGAACTAGGCATTATGTATGGTCAATCAAAATCTCAATTTAATACTATGAAGGAGAATGAATTTTAGCTTAAAGGGATTTAAAAAATGTATATGCAAGAATAACATTATTAGTAGAGTACTGAAAGAATATAGTTACAAGCCAGTTTTACTTACAAGGCACTGACCTAACTCTGTAATCTTAAAATTTTATGTGAACTACTCCAGAAGAAAAGACCCTAGATAATAGGGAAAAGGTAGACACGAAGGAGAAACAAAGCCAAATAATTTCAGTGGATGTTTATGGGCCCCTATTGAGTGTTTTGTGACTGCAGAGGGATACTGATCATTACAAGCTTAGAAAATGTTTCGACTAAAATTGTTGGGTCTGTTTTCTAGAATATATTACTTTGGAGCCTTAGTACCCACTTAGCTGGTTGCTAGAGTAGCAGTATTAATACAAGTCCTTTTTAGGGCAATGGTTCTCAGCTGTGGTCTTCAGGCCAGCAGCATCAGTATTACCTGGGAACTTGAAAGAAATGTGAATTTTTAAGCCTCATCTCAAATCTACTGAAGCAGAAACTCTAGGGATAGGGTCTACCAATCTGACTTAAGCCCTCCAGGAGATTCTGTTACACTAAAGTTTGACCAGCATTATTCTTGGAAATATCTAGGTTCTATCTATAGTCTTCCATCTTTATATAGAGATGGGTCTGCCTTCTACTCAGGCACCCATCTTCATTAGTTTTTAAAAATTTTTTCGTAAAAGAGCCAGGCCTTATTTAAGGGATTCGTATTTTGGCTTTATTTTTCTACCTTTAATTTCCCCTTGACATACTTTTTTCATGTAGTCTTTCACATTGCTGTACTAAGTATATTTCAGTAAGCTACAGCACACTTTAAAAAAATAATAGAGTGGAAGACAGAGAGAAATATACAATAAAAACAATCTAAATTTAGGCTAAGTCATCTGATCATTTGCAAAAGCTGTCCCTTTATGATGTGGCTTTTTCTCTGGGTTGGTATCTCATACCAATACAATCTACTTGGCTAAGATAAGACAGTGGTGCTCCAATCAAGCAAATAAAGTCCACTTGGCTAAGACAAGACTATGGCGCTTCAATCAGCTCCATTCAGGCATGTTCTTCGCTGGGTTGTAGATACCTTTACTTGGGTAGTATAACAGTATACTACACAAGTAGTCTACTACCAAAGAGTGTTTAAGTGCTTTTGACCTTTCCCAATTTATATTACAAAGGCCATGCAACCATTTCTGGAAAAAAAAAAAAAAAGATTTCTACCTTCCATTCTCTTTTGAAACTTTCTTATTATAAGGCACAAGACATAATTAATTTTCCCAATTACACTGTTTTGAGCATCTATACTTCTAAAGGTTTTGTTCAGCTGATAAGCAGCTAGCTGGAGCAAATGGATTTCTTTGTTCCCTAATTTAAGGTGTGACTAATTTTTATGCTGTACTACGTATTTTTCATTTAGCCTGGAGATATAAAATTCACTTATTTTTCACTATAGAAATTTATCCTGAATATATGTTAAGACCACAGATTTCCCAAGTAACATATATAACATGAAAATATAAAACCTGTTTCCTCAGATTTTCAAAAAATAGGAAGAGTTAAAAAGTTCTAGCAACAAGAGTCAATGAAAATGTTTATATCTAGCTTATTACAGCTCTGCTTATGTTATTAACTATTGGTTCTCTTTTACTTAAGAAAACCCAAGATCTGAGACTATTATTTGTTGAATGAATAAAAAGGTACATCTTGTCTGCCCTAGTCCTAAAAGTAATCAAAGCATAGGTATTCTTTTTCCTGTTTGACAGATGAATCTGAAGCTCAGAGGTTAAAGGACTGGTTAGGCTAACTAACAAGGCATTTAATTGATAGGCAAGAGACTCAAACAAGGGTCAGACACTTTCCAAATCCTACAAGCAAAACAAAATAAAGCAACCTTTATTTTAATGTGTTTTTCTAGTTGTAGAGTTTACAGATATAGTGCAAATGACATATACTGAAAAAAAAAAAACCCGACTGGTACTCACTGTGGTTTTCACACTTCGATCGGTTCCAGCTTCCAACAAGAGTTTAATACATTCTTTATTTCCATTTTTACAGGCCAGGTATAGAGGGGTCTGTCCTCCATCAGCAGCATGATTAATATTAGCATCATATGTAATTAATAATTCTACACACCTAAACACAAGATTAGAATTACACAAAACCTGGGTTTGACCTTTGAAGCAGCACCTAACCAAGACATTAAATATAGAAAAGAAGGCAATGGGGCATCTTTATATACATCAATTGTTTCTATTTATATATCAACTATTATGGATTTTATTACATCAGTACTGTTTTTTCACAAGGCTAGAAAATATATTCTAATCATAAAATTTAATTTCTCCCATGAAAATTTGAAAAGTGCTAATACCTGCTTTATGACATTTCCTTATAACCAACTTGTACAAGTGGAGTCCTTAGAATTTGTTTAACTTGCTGGGATGAACAGTTTAACTGTATTTGATAAGTATATATTATTTTGGTTCAAAATAGTTTGAACATTGAAAAAAGGCTGCTGAGTCATTCTGAGATTTTCACTTGAGAAAATAATTATAAATAGCATAGACAGCAGGGCACCATGTGCCTTCTCTATAAAAGGCAGCAGAAAGGCTGAGAAAAGGGTTGCCTTGGGGAGAAAAGATAGCAGAGGTTGTCCTGTCTCCTGAAGGCAGTCTAGATGATGAGGAAAAAGATAGCTAAGCAGGGACTCACTGCCCTGAGAATCAAGGAGAAAAGAAATGAGGCAAAGTCAAGAATTTGTGACATGCAGTTAGTAGCTAAACATGCAGAGTTTAAGTTGTAAAATTAGTTTAAAATAAACTTAGAAAAGAGGGCTAAATCATAATCAAAGTAAGAAGCAATCCACTTCCTCTTTTTTTCACTCCAATGAACGTTTTTCCTAGTTTTCCCTTGTAGTATCTGATTTATATATTTTTAAAAAAATTAAGTGACATGTCAATATATGTGTGTATCAGATACATTTAAATTAACCAATCCCCAGATTTCTCCAGGGTTCTTCCTTTTTGCAGAGTTATCCATGCTTCCATTTCTGTGACTGCTATACTCTCCAAGAAAGTGGCCCTGTAGGTTGCCTAGTGAAAGTAAAGGTAAAAAGCACAGCCTAGGAGGAGAAATTCATTTTGAAGGAGTCAGGATATGTCCAAAGAGTAACAGCAAAATCAGGGTCTAGGGTTCTTTGACAAACTCAGGGTAATGAGATATGTGTTAGATACGCAGAAAAGTAAATAATGCTATACATAAATAGTTCATTTTGAATTTTAAAAATTTTATATTTATGATTAATAACATGGAGGTCAACCTTAAAAACCTGTATTTCAATAATTTTGAAATTTGTTAAATAACATTTCTATCGGGACACTTAGATTCAAAAGCTGAAAGCAACTTGCATTTCCCACAACCTGCCATTTCAGCACAGGCAGAGAAAGCAACTTAATGTTAAAAAGTCATGCCTATAACTGACTGACTTAGTAAGCTATTAAAGAAATCACTGCTAAAGCTATGTATTATTTTAATTAATACGGTCTCTTTGGCTTAATGCTCAAACTACTTTCAGCATGTAATATTCATGCTTCAATTTTGTTTTAAATGGTAAAACAAGATGAATAATTAGAATACATTACCACTAGGAAGTTCAGATTATTACAACCAATATAATTCTATGTTCTACTTTAGTGACATCATAAGTAAAAAATCTTTTGAGGGGTTGAAATGGTGTAAAATAGTGAACAACAAACTTCTCAACAGTCCTTTATCTCATGACATATGTGTTGATATGCCATAGATTATCTTCCAAAGAAAGTTCAATCCCATTCAGTTGGGACGCAGCACAGCTCTCTTCTTCACTTCCCTCAAACATAGCTATTATTAAGAGCAAATTTAGAATCTTGGTTTGCATTTAAATCCTCAAATATATTTAGTGAATTTATTTGCCAGTGATTTTAAACACTAGTTTACACATTCAGCCAGAACTAAAATACATGTGCAAATTATAAAAACAGGCTCCTTTCATAGTGTGGAAAAAAGAATTAAGAGCAACTTACTCGAAATGTCCCTGAGCAGCTGCAGCACACAAGGGTGTGAAGCCATTTTTATCAGCAGCATTGACTTGGGCTTCTGCACTCAGCAGCAATCTCACACAGTCTAAGGATTTTAATAGAAAGCCATGTAAATTCCCCATTTGGAGTTATGATGTGCCAAATTCTATACAAGCTGTAGATAGATTCTAAACCCAAAAGGCCTCTCCCCTGCACAGTTCATCTCACAATTCCATCATGGCAGACATAAGACTCTGCAGACTACTTTACAGGAAAAGCAGCCTCTTTTCCCAAAGAGTATAATACCCCAGACTCACCGGCCAAGATATAGGGGGTGTGTGTATGTATGTGCGTGTGTGCCCATGTGCATCTGCATTTTGGGAAGAGTTGCTGCTGAGTAAAAGGAACGTCATGTGCCAGAAAATGCTTTACCAGATTTTTCCACCAGCCTATCCCAGAAAACAATGTTCCTGGATGGAGAACCAAATTCATTTACCAAATTGAAATACCATTCTTTGTATTTAAATAAATTCTTACTTCGTAATGTTTAATCTTTAAACTGCTTTTGGATGGTGGTCATCCTATACTTCACTCCATGAATGAGGTTAAAGGAGAGCCCAATAGAAAGTCACCTAACTCAGAAATAAATATCACCTAGATGTCACATTCCTCATGTTAGTTACTAGATTTACTTCTATATTAAAGAAAATCTCCATAGTGTTTATGAAATAAATAATTCTAGAATATTTTTAAAATAATGGGCTCTCTTATCTCACTAGAATCCTCCATTTATCTGAATTAAATCGACAATCATATGGGCTCACATATGCAATGCCATCTGACTTTGCATTTGCGGTCAAATCATCTCTTTTTCTGCACTACCATATGTTTTGGTAGATTTGACTACAGGATTTGCATTTTAAAGAACAAGAATAATTCGCAGTCTTCATCAATATACCATTTATAGTTACACAACTTCTCGGTTCTTTTAAGACATTCAAATAACTATAAATTGTTCCAACCATGGAACAATTTCAGGCCAATGACCTTTCCTAACTAGGAAAACTTTCCCTCACTGTAGCATACAGCCCTAAAGTTCTGATACTTAGACTTTCTCACACATCAGGTATTTCTAACAGACCAGTTAGGACTGTTCTGTCCTGACCAAAGTAATCACAGATGGAGGGCTTTATTCTAAATTGTGCTTCGCAATGAGTAGACCCTGAATTTCTATATGCACAATACATTTCATCATGCATAAAACAAAGATTACTTTTTACTAGCTGTGGTATAAAATTTTATATTAAGGAACTGTACAATTTGGATTTTTAAAATGTTTATAAAAACTTTAAATCTCATGTTAAAAAAAAACAAAAAACAAAAAAAACCTATCCATTACCGCCTGTAAAAGAAAAATAAAACTAAATTGAACCTTCTGTGCATAACAATGGATACGTGGGCTTTTGACTTCCCATCCTTTTGCAAGTGTGTGGTATGATGAGATAAGATCTTGCTGTATTTACCTGTATGTCCATTCTTAGCAGCAGAATACAAGGCAGAATGGCCATCTTCACAGGAGTAATTAATGTCCAGTCCTTCTTCATTAAGCAGCATTGATAATAAAGTGACATTTCCCTGGGCAGCAGCTTGCTGAAGAAGGGTGGGCCTGCCAGCCAGGGGGGCAGGACCACCACTCATTAGCAAAGGGGTTAGGGAGGGTGACCAGCCTGTAGGTTAAAGTGACCCTCATTAGAGAGTAGGAGTAAGGACAAGAGACAGATATTACCTATTCCTTTCTGAATTACACACACACAAACATATGAACATGTGTCCCTAGAGGATTATGTGGTGTCTAACATTATCAATCTGTTAATATTTACTTAGCATGAATCTGGACTGTTATTTCAGATCTTCTATCTGCTGCTAATTAAATCATCATACATGGTGAAAAATTATTTTTAGTCATGAGTCTTGCACAGATAAGTGTTAAAGTGGTGATTGGTTTTAGAAAAACTCATATGGCTGTCTCATTTTTTTTTTAATTGAACTTTTGTTCAAATTCCTCTTCAAGATTTAAAAACAATTTTTGAATTTTAAAATGTAAAGGTTTTACAATGTAAAGGTTTCCTCTAGTTCAATATTAATCGGGAAAAGTGAACTGATATTTTTAGGTATAAGAGAAATCATTGTCAGCAACACATTTTTCTTTCTCAACAAGGTTTCAAAGTTGTTTAACTACAAATTTTATGTAAACTGTTAAGATGGACCAAAGAGTTTATTTATATTCCTTGAATTCCCTTATTTGGGAATAGAAATAATGGAAGCCAATTGGTATTCAGTATTAAGAGCTAATAAAACATAACATATATAACTGGATCTAGAATTCACCAGCACAAATATTCAATATACAATTGTGAAGCCTGCATCATCTGGCCACATTTACAAAATGCCTAACAAACTTTTAATCAGCCAACAAAACAGGACACTCAACTATATAATTTTAACAAAAATAATGAGTTATATAGTTAGATACTTCTCATCAGTATTTAGCAGCTTTAGAAGAGAATCTGTTAAGTGTGTGAAGTCGGCTGCATATAGCATGAAAAATTTTCTGAATTCTTCCTTGATCAAAAGGCTGTAAAAACAGTAAAGTAAAAATGTTCATTCAATGTGATATACAGGTATCTGTGTATTTAAGACTTAAATACAGTGAATATTCAAAATAAGAAATGTTCCTTTTTTCTTGTAGGGTTCTAATACCTGTAACATAATTGTGCATATGTACATATATTCATCCCTAAAGGCACACTTTCACAGACCAATTAGGACTTTTTGGTCCTGACCAAAGTGATCACAGATGGAGGGCTTTATTCTAAACAGCACTTCACAATGACTAGACCCTGAATTTCTATGTGCACAATGCATTTCATTGTGCATAAAACAAAAATTATTTTTTACTAGCTGCAATAAAATTTTATATTAAGAAACTATACCATTTGGACTTTTAAAATGCTATAACTATCCACTACCACCTGTAACAGAAAATTAAAACCACATTGAACCTTCTGTTCATAACAATGGTTATGTGGGCTTTTGAGTTTCCATCCTTTTGCAAATGTGTGCTATCATGAGATAAGACCTTGCCATATTTACCTGTATGTCCATTCTTAGCAGGGGAATACAAGGCAGAATGGCCATCCGATTATGATACATGCTAACAACCCTTTAGTAAGATACAACAGATGTATGTTTTACATTCTCCGTACACTGGTATCAGCATAATAGTCTAAGCATATGGGTGTCATATTAATATACATGTAATACTCAATTAGGATTAAATCCTAAATTACTGACCTTAAATTATCTTAATAAATATTAAAAGGGCACATATCAAAGGAATTTCTCAATATTTTAAAAATTCTTTATTAAAAATGCAAAACAAAGCCAATTATACAAATGAAGCTACATTGCTTATAAAAAGCTGGACGTTATATCTTCATAATCAATTATTTGGGTCTATGAATAATTTATTATTTTTAATCCTACTTGTAGTGACATACGAAATTAAAATGCTCATAAAATTCAGTATCTAAACTTTATGATACTTTCCTACTGATACTCATTAGCTCTTCTTACAAAAGTAATATTTTTACTTCATACTTACAAGAAGGCTCCTCTCTGGTACATTTTACCTTTTGTATTTTCTTAAAAACAAACAAACAAACAAAAAACAGGCCCACAAAAATTAAATCAGTACTTATTAGAAATGGATGATAAACAGAGAAATTATAAACACAAAGGTATAAAACCTTGACTGCAAAGCAAATACAGGCAATATGAAGGCATCACACTACGTCCTCTGTGGAACAGGAGGGAATGGGGCTCATACTCAGCCTCTCTTTCATTCTCTCTTTCTTTAGATCTCATCCAAGGGGTCTTTGTTATTGATATTCCTTTATGAATACCAACATATGTAAATGGTTTGCTATTCTTTTGGGTTTTGTTAACATTTTCCTTTTTTCACCATAAATCTAGGATTTTAAGGGGAGGAGACAGTTTAAATATATTTTTCAACTGCTTTACATGGAAATATTCAATTGTAGCTGTAATTTCCTGGGAAGCTCTATTTTTAATTAGTTATCTGAAAGATAATTTTTTTTCTTCTTTTTTTTTTTTTCTTTTTATACTTATCTAACAACACACATTTTCCTTCTTTTTTTTTTTTTCAATATTTAGACCACACAAGGGTCTTATTATACAGAACTTCAGAAGATATGTCAGTTGCCTTATTTTCTTAGAGGTCTACAATATATTTTAAAAATCTTTACAAAGGAAAAATCCTTTAAAAATACCAAGTAATTTAAAACTATAAATATATTTTACATCTTCACTAACGTTTCCAATGTTCTCTAGCACAGACAAGCTTATTTTAATTAATCCTGCCTAAATATGGAAAAAATAAGACTTCACTATGAGACTATATTATTCATCTGAAATTCCCAACAATGATAAAAATGGTAATGCTTAGTTAAGTGGTTAAATAATGGTTAAGACAGAACAGACTGGTATTCATACAGCTACTCTAACGATGTTAGCAAAAGGTCATTCAGCTTAGCAGCGTCAAATGCAAACATTAGTAAGGGGAGCATCCTGCACAACATGCCAGGAAGAAGGGAACAACTGATCATGCAATGGCAGAGGGGAGGCATGAGAACAGCTTCTGGCATCAGCTTCAGAGGGTGGAAAAGGTTAATGTCATAGCCCAGATCATTCTTGTTTTCTGATGTAGCCTTTAAGCCAATCACATATGAAGAATAATTTTTAAAAGATATGTGTCAATAGGGAAAAGTATAAACCAAATTAAATCAAATATATCAAATAAGAAAAAAAAAAAAACAGAAACAAAAATGTCCAAGGGTATGGAAACTCAGTTGCCTGGAGTGATTTCTGGTTTAGGCTTCCGTTCATCTAACATTCGAAATGTGTTTATTTGGCAAGTTCAGGAGGAACAAGAAATTCTAGTTGATTTAGAATTAGGAATGTTATTTAAAATTTTGACATTTGGCTATAAAGGTTGCCAAATAGAGTTTGGGTAATTTATGCTACGATTCATTAAAATGGTAACTTCTGTCATTCCAATTTTCCTTGGGGCTTTAACTTAGTCATAATTGTTATAGATAGAAGGTGACATAGAAACACAGGATTCTGGAGTTGGAAAGGTCATGGGCCAGTAGCTGTCCAAGGACGGAGAGGTAGTTTGAAAATTCATCAGGCTAGTTTAAATCTTTGTCTGGAAATATTATAATTTTGATTCACTGCTTATTTATTTTTTTGAGACATGGTCTCACTATGTCACTCAGGCTGGTATACAGTGGCATGATTATGGCTCACTGCAGCCTTGACTTCCTGAGCTCAAGTGATCCTCCCGTTTCAGCCTCCAGAGCAGCTGGGACCACAGATGCACACCACTACGCACAGCTAATTTTTGTATTTTTTATAAAGTTGGGGTTTCGCCATGTTGCCCTGGCTGGTCTTGAACTCCTGGGCACAAGTGATCTTCCTGTCTCGGCCTCTCAATATGCTTGGATTATAGGTATGAGCACTGGAGTCAGCAATGCTTTTGTTTTTAAATGAAAAACCTAATGGCTCAGAGGGAATTAGCTCTCTAGGGTAATACTTATAAAGGGGCAGGAATGCACTAATCCTGCCTTACTATAGTTAGTTCAGTGCTTGTTTGATCACTGAAATTGGAAGAGACACCTGACAGGTATTTGACAGATGTGCTTTGTCCCTGTGCCTTGCTTTTGGCAACCACACTGGAATCAGTGGCTGTTTGGAGGGTTAATACCTTTCAAAGGGGTCATGACCTGGAGAGGCACAAGCTCACCCAGGCACAGACAGGTTAGTAAGTAGGGTGGAGGCAGCTCTTGTGCTTCTTAGTTGCAATGGGCACGGTGGCGAAAATAGGGGCAGTCTAAATGCAAAACAGAGTTGAAATCCTATATCTTATTTGGAAAGTTCAGCTGACCTACATTTATAGTTGAGTTGTAAAGTTATACACCCCCATTGTGCAAGTGTAATAACACTTCCATTTCCCAGTCTAGGTGCTCAGTAAACACTTGCTGAATGACTAAAGGCCTCGATTGTCTCTATTCTCCCATAACAAGCCACATCTTATAATCAAAGACATAGAAACCTGTTATTCTACCAAAGGTAATTGTGCAGTTCTGAGAGGAATAAATAATATACTTTGGCAAAATTGCAAATATCAGAGAGTGGAAAATAAGGAATCTGGCCGGGCACAGTGGCTCATGTCTGTAATCCCAGCACTTTGGGAGGCTGAAGTGGGCAGATCACAAGGTCAGGAGTTCAAGACCAGCCTGGCCAGTATAGTGAAACCCCATCTCTACTAAAAATACAAAAACCAGCCAGGTGTGGTGGCACACCTGTAGTCCCAGCTACTCAGGAGGTTCAGGCAGGAGAATCGCTGGAACCCAGGAGGTGGAGGTTGCAGTGAGCCAAGATCATGCCACTGCACTCCAGCCTAGGTAGCAAAGTGAGACTCTGTCTGAAAAAAAAAAAAAAAAAAAGAAAGAAACAAAGAAGGAAACGTTTTCCACATCTTCAGTGGCTGCTATTTCTTTGGTCTCTGTTCTATATTGTCTT